GGATAACTTTAACAACCAGGCAAGTAGCATTTCAAACACAGGTGCACAATAAAGGCCTACATATTTATATTAGAAAAATGTATTTTTAAAAATGAACTTTTCACAAAGTTAATATATTTTTATTATAGCCAAAACTTTTTTAAAATTTTGGATAAGATAGGGAAGGGGTAAAACCCAGCCATGTTTTTTTGCTGTCTGGTTCTATTGGGGAAATTCCTCTCTAATTCCTGTCCCATATAAGCAACACAAAGTTCAAGGAAATCTCCTAAATGTGTCCCTGAAACAGGTGTCCCCACTGAAAGATCCCCAATTACCTATTTTTCTGAAGACAACTCTAGAATCATGGATTTTCTCTTTCATTTTTTCTTTGTGACAATGGTCACCAGTACATAGTTACATAGTCTGGATGAAAAAAGTTCATCTAGTTCAACAAAAAAAAAAGGTTTTAATGCTATACCCACAGTTGATCCAGAGGAAGGCAAAAAACCCAGCAAAGCATTATCCAATTTGCTCCTGCAGGGTAAAAATCTTCTTCCTGTTCCCACGAGAAGCAATCGGATATTCCCTGCATCAACTTTACCTATAAATGTTAGTGTCCAGTTCAGGGGCGGACTGACAACTCATGGGGCCCCCGGGCAATAGGGGATCATGGGGCCCCTGTGTCCTTGCCCAAACTCAAAAAAGCCTCTGAAAAAGGTACCAGGGGCATCTCATGGGGCCCCCTACTGGCCACGGGCGCTCGGGCAGTGCCCGAGTTTCCAAATGGTCAGTCCGCCCCAGTTATATTCTGTGTATCCAAGAAAGAATCCAGGCCTTTTTTAAAGCAATCCACTGAGCTGGCCAGAACTAACTCTTGAGGAAGTCTATTCTTACTAATACAGATAAAAAGACACAGATAGCGATAGGAACTTGACAGAGGGTCTAACCCTTTCAAGCTTTATCCAAAACTAAAGAAGAAGGTTTGGCCTAGAGATATACCTAATGGCAACTAGCTAGTATAACAAGGTCTAAACCCTATAATGGAAGAATATACAAGCATACTTTCCTGTTTTATAACCACAACCAGTAGAGTTGGCTCTGGTGGACTAGTGAGGGCTGTAGTGGCTCAAGAGATGTTTAATTCTAAATATGACTGCATTGTGTTATATGTCAGTTGGGGCATGCAGTGAACAGCTCCAAGGTTATATCATGCCAGCTACAAACACAAAGTTTTACAGTGACGTAGGCAAAGTCTGTGAAAAATGTTTTATATCATGGACAGGAATGATTGCATCTATTGTGTTGTGATGTGTGTATATTACACTGTGTGTGTTCTCCAGGTGCACACCATCAGCTCAGCCTGTGTTCTATAAACCTTCAAGAACATTGGAAGAAACAATTTACAGTACACTTGAAATCAACAGATGTGTCTCTTAGAGACCTGCTAACTTTGATAAATTGGATAATATATGTCATATTAGATGTTAGAAAGGAGTTTATTGACTATAGGTGTGCACAGGACAGCATGATAAATACTTCAAAAAGATAAAGAACTCTAGGTGACTCTTAGTGCCATGCAGTGTAATGCTATTATGAATAACTGTAATATACAGTGCCTTGAAAAAGTATTCATACGCCTTGAAATTTTCCACATTTTGTCATGTTACAGCAAAAAACGTAAAAGTATTTTATTGGGATTTTATGTGATAGACCAACACAAAGTGGCACATAATTGTAATGTGGAAGGAAAATGATAAATGGTTTTCAACATTTTTTACAAATAAATATACAATACTTTGTAGAACCACCTTTCACTGCAATTACAGCTGCAAGTCTTTTTAGGGATGTCTCTACCAGCTTTGCACATCTAGAGAGTGACATTTTTGCCCATTCTTCTTTGCAAAATAGCTCACGCTCTGTCAGATTGGATGCAGAGCGTCCTTGAACAGTAATTTTCAAGTCTTGCCACAGATTCTCAATTGGATTTAATTCTGGACTTTGACTGGGTCATTCTAACACATTAATATGCTTTGGTTTAAACCATTGTAGCTCTCGCTGTATGTTTAGGGTCGTTGTCCTGCTGGAAGGTGAACCTCTGCCCCAGTCTCAAGTCTTTTGCAGACTCTAACAGGGTTTCTTCTAAGATTGCCCTCTATTTGGTGCAATCCATCTTCCCATCAACTCTGACCAGCTTCCCTGTCCCTGCTGAAGAAAAGCATCTCCACAACATGATGCTGTCACCACCATGTTTCACGGTGGGAATGGTGTATTCAGGGTGATGTGCTGTGTTCGTTTTCCGCCACACATGGCTTTTTGCTTTTAGGTCAAAACGTTCAATTTTGGTCTATGACCAGAGCACCTTCTTGAGCAACTTCTTCCACATGTTTGCTGTGTCTCCCACATGGCTTCTCACAAACTGCAAACGGGGCTTCTTATGCCTTTCCTTCAACAATGGCTTTCTTTTCGCCATTTTCCCACCTGAGCTGTGGATCTCTGCAGCTCCTCCAGAGTTACCATGGGCCTCTAGGCTGCTTCTCTGATTAATGCTCTCCTTGCCCAGCCTGCCAGTTTAGGTGGACGGCCATGTCTTGGTAGGTTTGCAGTTGTGCCATACTCTTTCCATTTTCGGATGATGGATTGAACAGTGCTCTTGGGATATTTTTTATAACCTAACCCTCCTTTAAACTTCTCCACAACGTTATCCCTGATCTGACCTGTCTGGTGTGTCCCTTGCCCTTCATGATGCTGTTTGTTCACTAATGTTCTCTAACAAACCTTCTGAGGGCTTCACAGAACAGCTGTATTTATACTGAAATGACATTACACACAGGTGGACTCTATTTACTAATTAGGTGACTTCTGAAGGCAATTTGTTCCACTAGATTTTAGTTAGGGGTATTAGAGTAAAGGGGGCATTTCTGGTTGTAACATGACAAAATGTGAAAAATTTCAAGGGCAATGAATAATTTTTCAAGGCAGTGTAGATGTTAAAAAAGAAGTATGGGATTTAAACAAAATAAGCATACATACTCACCTAGGTGGATGGGCATTGCTCTCCCCACCATCTCTAGACCAGGGGCGGACTGACAACTCATGGAGCCCCCGGGCAATAGGGGTCATGGGGCCCCTGTGTCCTTGCCCAAACTCAAAAAAGCCTATGAAAAAGGTACCAGGGGCATCTCATGGGGCCCCCTACTGACCCCGGGCCCTCGGGCAGTGCCCGAGTTTCCAAATGGTCAGTCCGCCCCTGCTCTAGACTGAGGACTGTTCTCAGTCTTCCCTGTGCAGAGAGCCAGGGACTGTCAGTCACCAGCTGTCTGCTCTGCCTCTCCAGCACTCACTGGTGTGCCGAGCTCTGAAGGGGAAGAAGCGGCTGGCTCAGGTTCTCAGTGAGTCACTGAAAGGCTGAGCCAGCAGCCAATCTAGGCTACTAGTGGATCCCAGCATTAAAGTTGGGATCTCTCCAGAGCCTGGACTGGCTGAGTGATGACAGCCGACGGCGGACTTTACCCACTGTCAGCTAAATACAGGTCACAGGAATGCAGAACAAAGTAGGGCCATAGGAGATTTAGCCATACCTCTTCTTTAATATATTGTACAAAGTGAATGCTAACATTTGTATTTTTTTTTCTACTTGAAGGGGATGTTTTTCTTTATTTTTTTCCTTTTTACGTGATTGGTTATTCTTTGCAAAGTGAATTTTCACCACATTCACTGAGCTAAGAGAAAATTCCTTGGCAAAGTGAACAGCCTCTTTGCCTTTGGTAACACAATGCAGGGCTGCTGTTAAAAAACACCCCATACAGTCAACCTTACCCCCCCAAGAAAAAAACACCATTTATTCTTTATGAATGAACAGTGAGTGATCGGTAAATCACTCATTGTGTATGTTCAGGAAAGGTAGGGGATGGTAAATGTGACATATTTACCGGACCCTTTCCCCACTCTCCATCCTGAAGGGTCCTATTGTGTGCTTGCAACTGTCATTCAGAAGGAGAGGAGGGAGGCCGGCAGCACTGTGGGGGTGGGGGCACACAGGGGGGCTTGGGCAGCAGGGGGAAACATATGGTGCAAAGGGAGGGTGATGGGTGTGAGGGGGGGGGGCATTTACTTGAACAGACACCTTGTATGGCTGTCTCTGCAGCAGCTGAAAGCAAGCGGGAGGGAGAGAAGAAGCCAGCTTTCAGCTGCTGCCAGAGAGCCATACAGGGGATCAGTTCCAGTAATTGCCCCTCCTGCCATGCCGATCACTCTCCCTGCCCATGTCTAATTCACCAAGCTGCCTGGGCCCCCCTGCAGGACTGGGCCCTGTACAGGAGGACTGGTGGTACCCCCTTATCCATGGCTCTGACACAATGGTACGTACAGTTACAATTGACACACAAAATGATACATAATTTCTTAATACATTTTATAATCCGGGTTAAAGAGCTACCTGATACAATTCATATATGCATCATTCATAAACCTATAAGGAGAAATGGCCTGCTTACGCTGGGTTCACACTAGCCCTGCAGGCTGCCTTCGGGTGCAGGAATCGTACCTGTTCCTGCAACCACCTGCAGCTGAATTGCCATGCTCATGCAATCCGAGGAGGACAACCATTCATTCTGAATGGCACCTCCACTCTCCTCAATTCATAGCGCAATCGAGGGTGCGGAAGCCGCAGGGAAACCATAAGATCAAAAATACCACGCGGTTTCCCAGTTGATTTTTTAAACAGTACATGCACCTTTTTTGTGCAGGACACGTGGCACAACAGTCCATTCAAATTAATGGACTGCTGTGCCTGAGCAGACGCTGCCCTCATGGCCCGCACTAGTTGGAGGGGACTATATTTCAGAGTGGAACCTATGAAAACCTCTGACAATCTGTTGTATAAAGAACACAATGTGATCTACAGGTATATATACAGTACACAAAATATACTATATAATGTACAGTGTACACTTTTTCAGAATCTTGCAGTAACATTATTCACTTTATATACTGTACTTATTGTAGACATATCTCTTTCTTAGGCAGTGGCTAAGCTTATGACTGTGGATTGTCGCTGTCATGGAGTCTCTGGGTCCTGTGCTGTAAAAACATGCTGGAAATCCATGTCTTCATTTGAAAAGATTGGCAGTTACTTGAAGGATAAATATGAGAACGGCATTCAGATATCCGACAGACTGAAACGAAAGGTTCGAAGGAAAGAGAAGAATCATCGAAAGATTCCCATCAGAAAAGAGGATCTTGTGTATACCAATCGTTCCCCAAACTACTGCGTGGAAGACCGGAAATTGGGCATTTCAGGAACTCATGGGAGGGAATGTAATCGTACTTCTGAGGGACCGGATGGCTGTAATCTACTCTGCTGTGGACGAGGATATAACACACATGTAGTTAGACATGTGGAAAGATGTGAGTGTAAATTTGTGTGGTGCTGCTATGTGCGCTGTAGACGATGTGAGAGTATGACAGATGTCCATACCTGTAAATAAGAATAATGAGACAAACACAAACTCAGAGAAAGAGAAATGCCTTAAGAAACCGCTATACAGTGACAAAACGCATGTGCTATAATGACTGGGATTTCAGCCATGTGACTGTTATCTTTGCCTTTTGTTGGTCACTGCTGATAATAATCATCATAGCATAGAACTGGGCCTAGAGTTTGAGCACTTTTGGATCAGTGGAAAATAGTCTAATTTAAAGGAGCAAAAACTGTAGCAATAGATAATCTGCTGTGATCCCCTTTGTTCTCATGTTCTCAGCTCAGGTTTAGGTCGCACACTGCATATGCAATGGCTTTTAAATATCCCTGGAGTCTGGTATATGCATATTAGGAGAAAGGAAACCTTCAAATCTCTGCTATAAAGTTTTTACAGATGGATAACATTAGCTAATTTATATTTTGATAGATAGAATATAAATATTGGTTTCCCAGGGTTGCAATAATTCCAAATTTCCAGCTGTATATGAGGCCAAGTGTGCCTATAGACAAGAAATGGTCAAATCTGGCCAATCAAGACACAGTAAACCAAAGCGGGTTTGTGTGGGGGATCAACAAAACTATTCAAAAACTAAGCATGTCCATTAGCAGAGGTTTCATCCTACAACCTCATTGACTATTTTGGCCATTAGAGATTGCGGTGGCTTTTTTTGGCCTTGATTGGGGTGTTTACCACACTCAGGGCTTGGGAGTCTAACATAGGGGTTAATTTACTAAAACTGGAGAGTGCAAAATCTGGTTCTGCTCTGCATAGAAACCAATCAGCTTCCAGTTATTTTTGTCAAAGCTTAATTGAATAAGCTGAAGTTAGAAGCTGGCTACCATGAAGCTGGCTACCATGCACAGCTGCACCAGATTTTGCCATCTCCAGTTTTAGTAAGTCGACACTTTAAAAATCTAAAAGAACCCAATTCAGCCTGCAACAAAACCATATCTGAGTACATTAAGAACACAGCTAAGCAGCTAATGGAAAAAAATTATGGTGCCCTAATTATAATGTATTAAAGGATAAGTTCTCCTTTAATATAATAAAAAAAAAATAATAAAATGTATTTTTTTGCAGGTAAAAGAATGTGCATTTAGTATTTTTTTTTCTTAGGAGCCCAGAAACAGAAAGCATGCACCCCCAATCAGCAGATCATTAGTGCAATGAAAGGCTCTTGCAGACTGTCAGTGGTTGATTTACTAAAATTGAACAGTGTAAAATCTGGTACAGCTCTGCATAGAACCCAATCAGCTTCCAGGATTTTTTTTCAAAGCTTAATTGAAGAAACTGAAGTTAAGCTGATTGGCTACCATGTACCAGATTTTGCACTCTCCAGGGTAGCTGTCTGCCCATACCTCCAATACAGGTAGGCAGTTCAGGAAGCTCAATGGACTATGAGAGTGCTCAGCAGTGCCCTCGAAGCTCATTTTGAATTACAAGCCATCAGTTGCAAAGGCTGATGGTACTTGTAGGCATTCATGCACAGAACTGTTTGAATGAATGATGCTGCCATGTGGGCGGTGCACTACATAGCCGCAATCTTTTCAAACTGTGACAGCGGGTCCAGGCAGAAGATCGCCATCCCGCTGTCACAGAGAGGTGGGGGGGGGGGGAGCTGCTGTAGGAGCCTAAAAACAGGTGGAACATGCAACCTGTCCCGTTAGGTAAACTTATTCTTTAAAATCAGCCATATAGGTATAGTTATGCCACCACTGATACAGGTATTACAAATTTGCTCAATATCCAAAAGCACTACTTTTAACCCTTCAGATCAATTGCTAGCATCAATGGGCATTTTTCCAGTGAAATGCTGAAATGGTCAAAATACGGTATTTGCTAGGCTTATTTGTCTAAAAGTGCCGTCATACCTGTAGAAGGCTCCATTTAAGCTGTTTAGAGCAACGGTCCATAACAGAATACCTGAATAGGAGAATGTCTGATTGATTATTAGGTGAACAAGTCATGAGGTTGTATGTGGAGAGCTTAGACAGTACATTGCGTAACGCTTTCCATGCAGTGCAGTGATCGATGTCCTTTCTGGACACCATACCACTACATTTGTACCCAGGGGCGGACTGACCATTTGGAAACTGCCTGAGGGCCCGGGGTCAGTAGGGGGCCCCATGAGATGCCCCTGGTACCTTTTTCATAGGCTTTTTTGAGTTTGGGCAAGGACACAGGGGCCCCATGATCACCTATTGCCCGGGGGGCCCCATGAGTTGTTAGTCCGCCCCTGTTTGTACCACAGGTTTTTTGACACTCAGAACTAGACCAGCATTAAATTGTGTGAATGCAGGAATCTTCAGATTCCACAGTTTCATTTTGGCCATGTTAAAAAGTTAATTTAATTATGTATCTCAATAACTTCATTTGTCTCACCAAAAAACTAGCTGTTACAATGAGAAAATCAAAGCAGAATAGATGTCCCCTCAATTAATACATATGGTACAAATAGATAATTTATTTATAAATTGAGTAGTTATATATTTGATCTATTATTCAGTAACTACTGCATACACGGGAAAACAAAAATACTACTCAGACTATGAAATGATAGCATACAATGTGATGACTGTATCTGTATAATGCATTTATTATATAACCATTGTACTGCCCTTCACGCCAATCCAGAAATGCAGTTTAGTGGTACTGTATGTCAATATCTGCACATTTTGTCAGTTTGATATGGCCAAGTCTGTTAAAGACCAGGACAAGCACAACAGTAGGGCTACATAAAGAGTATGAGCACTATTACAGTGTGCAGAGACACTTACAACATTGCAGAGAAGTACTTACTATATTTTATTGAAGATAACCTCACTAAAATGCATTGGAGCTTCTTTTAATGCTGAAAGTGGAATTTCAGTCAAATTCCAACTATGTCTAAATCTATTCCCTCCCCCATTCTAAAACCATTCTATCTACCCTGCCTATATGTATCTATTCTGCAGCTAGTCAGGTCACATGACTAGTCCTAGCACTGGCTTCAGTATAGAGGAGAGACAGACGACAACGGATGCCACCCAGGCTCTGCAGTAGAGGTGTAACTAGAACCTTCAGGGCCCCAATGCGAGAAACCATGAAGGGCCCCCCTGACCCCTAGTCCCAGTGCCCTTTCCACCAATCCCGGAGTCCTTTATTAGGGTCCTGCAGCAGGACCCTTTCACATGTCCTGCAGCAGGCACCCTTCCTGCCGTCTTGTTTAGGGTTGGCACCTTTTCTTCAAGCCAAACCCAACACTTTAGAGGCACACATCAACTTTTTTTTTTAATATACATATACTGTATTTTGCAATTAAATACATTTCTTATCATATGGATTTAATCACGAGAGTCCCCCCTTACATCAGAGTCCACAGAGTTTCCCCTTTACATCTGAATCTGCAGAGTTCCCCTTTACATCTGAATCTGCAGTTACCCTTACATCTGAACTGGCAGAGTTCCCTTTCACACTCTAAGGGGTGACTCTGCAGATTCTGGTGTAAGGAGAACTCTGGGAACTCTGATTTAAGAAGGAACACTGAGAACTATAATATAAGGGGGAACACTGCAGACAGGTATACAGGGTATCTCTGATATAAGGGGGTTTTGGTAACCAGTGCCCCCACTTACATTATAGTCCACAGCTTTCCTCCTTAGACCAGAGCCCCCCCTCCCACCCTTACCTCAGAGTCTGCAGAATTTCACTGTAGGGGAATGTTTTCGACTGTTGGGCTTTCCCACCCACTCATGCAATTTCTGAGCACAGTGCTGCCATGGGCAGGGCCGCAGGCATACATAGGAGATGGTTGTGAGGAGGAAGAGCAGGTCCAGATTTCTCTCTCTCCTGTCCCGACTGTGCACAGGGAGGAGCGGGCTGTCAGTGCTGGGTCTGGCCAGTGTGAAATAGTATCATAGACACGATTTGCTTACAACTGCAGCCAGCAACCCTAAAGTGGAAGAACTCCAGAGCCCGGTCTCAAGTGCAACCTTTGCGACCCTCGTAGTTCCGCCACTGCTATGCAGTCATTGTCTCTGCCTGTCTACACTGAAACCTGCACTGGGACACATTCATGTGACCGAACCAGAGTGAATTCAGAACAGGTATGTATAGGCATCTTTTCTCCAAGAAGGTAGATAGAATAGTCTTACAATGGGGTTGGAAGTAGGTTTAGGTTTCATTAGAATTTGACTGGAAGTTGACTTTAAAGCAACAGCTGCCAAAGCCAAAGCTGTCCCTGTAAAGAAGAAAGTGAATACTCACCTCTCCTGTGAATTGCACAGTCTGCATCACAGTAGATACATTGATGAAAAATCATCTGGCTGGAATTTCCTCCTACAGGACACAGTGATAATGCAGGTTGGTAGGAGGAACCTTTGTGTGGTTTATGGAGGAATTCAGCTACTGATTTCTCAATGGAGTGATGTTCCATAGTGTGGTCAACAGACGCGTATTCACTTCCTTCCAAAAGAGAAAGCTTTGATTGAGACTTTGATGACAGAGTCTCTTTATGTTTAACTTTTCAAGTGTGCACATTCTCCACCAAAATTTACAAAACACTTGAAATCAATTACAATCTGGAAAAACATAAAACCATAATAAAAGCCATTTTGTATTTATACATTAAATTTTATATTTTCATATGAATATTTGTATAGTCTGTAAAAGCTCTTAAGAAAATTGTGAATATTTGTATTAAAATGCATTTTCTACTAGTTTTATATGTACATTTTGTAAATACTTAAGTTATGCAGTTTTCGCACTGGATGTGAATCCAAAAAGCTTGTATGGTACTTATTTGTATTTTGAAAGGATGAGTTTATAAAGCGCTACAGTTTTCACTTCACTCCAAATAGCACTAAAACTGTTTAACAAATCGACAAATATTTTATGTTATAAAGTGCATTTTAGTTTACTATCATTTCATAAAAAAGTGTGTGTATTTTTTAAACTTTTCCAAATATTAAAGAGTTTGTGAAAAAATTTCACTTATGCCCGCTGAGCATGGTTGGTAAAAAGATACG